TACCAATGTGCGTGTTGTTGATGATGAAGACGAGCCTAAAGGACATGGTTCTATAGCGGATCGAGAATATATGACTCAGCTACGAGATGAAATTGATGAGCAATTAATGCAAAATATGGATTGAATTATTGTAGTTGTATGGATTATTTAAATTTCAGTATTGTAAAACTAAAATTATTTAAATTTCAGTATTGTAAAACTCTTTTCAGTTTAAAAAATCAGTTTATTTATATTTCAGTTTATTTTAACAGTCTGCAGACGTTAAAAAACAAACAGTCTTCTTCTTGCAGACTGCAGACTTTTGGTCCACCTCTTCTACTACAGATGCTTGCAGATGTGGTCCGCAGACTGCAGACCTTTTACCTCTGCAAAAACAAACAGCACCTTACTCTCTTTTCTATGTACAACTTTCTTCCATTTTATGTCTGTAATTAGCTTGGACCTTTTTCCCATATAGAGTATATTCAAATAAATTTTATTCTAGTCATTAAATTGGATGAAAAGTAGTATATATTAATATAAAAGTAGATCAATAATATGAAGTGGAGGGCCATTAAAAAAGTAGACAAATGATATGTGACTATAGGCACTATTTTATGAGTTTTTTATTATTAAAAATTATAAAATTATTTATTTAATTATATAAATTTTTTATTATTAAAAGTTACAAAATCGTCACTTAATTGTTTATATATTTCAAAATTTCATTTTTTGTTTAAAAATTTTGACTGTCTCAGCTGAATGTTAATATGTTAATCGGAATGTAATAAAATTTTTATCTCAAAATGGTGTAAACTTTATTTTATTGATGGACTTTTCATTTACATTATGTAAAGCAATAGTGATACTAGTAGACATCATTAAAATATAATTTTTTTCATATCTAAATCAACAACTTAACGTCCAAATTAGACAGTCATCAAAATTTTAAAGGAAAATAATTAGTTTAGAACATATGAATAGTCAGATGACTACTGTATAACTTTGAATAATTGAGAGACTCAACAAAATAATATCTTGTAATTAATGAATTATTTTATAATTTTTAATAATTAAAGAACTCAATACAACAACGTCATATATCCGAGGATCATCTATATACTCTATCCTTAATATTTATTCTTGTCATTAACTTAGGTAATTTATATATAATATAAAAGTAGATCTATATTATGTGCCTAAGAGCCAATTATTACAAAGATCAAGAGCCATTATCAGATCAAGATAAGATCAAAATTTTAATTTGATTTTTGTTGATTTCAATTTTTCTAAGAAAAGCAAATTAAAGAAAGCAAAGAGGAAAGAGGAAAGAGAAAAAGAATGTTCTAGTACTAATCACGTTGTAAATGACAATTGAAGACAATCAAACGATGATAGAGAAAAATATCATTCATACGAAAAAGGTAAAAAAATAAATAATTTCATAAATGGAATTACCAAAAACGTAATGTCTGAGATCATTTTCAGTCCTTATCTCTATTTTAGTGTATTTCTATATCTACTTTAGAGAATAAATAATAATTCATCTCCAGCTTTATCTCTACATTACCACTAATTCCACTTTATTCATAATATTTAACTATTATAATATTAATTTTATAAATATAAAAAAATCAGAAAAATACATAAAATCTGAAAAATTACAAAAAAATTAATATGATTATTTATCTAATTTAAAGGTATTTTTTATATCTTATAATTTAATATATTTTAATTATTAAAAAAAGAAAAATATAGCGCAAGTTACAGTGCAGCGAAGTGCAGCGAAGTGGTACGGCACTGTAGCAATTCTCCACAGTAGAGCAAAATGTAGCGCAGGGTTGAAGATGCTACAATGTAGAAAAATGCTACAGTAAAATAGCATTGGAGATGATCTTAATCCCAGATAATATTAATATCTTTAAATATTATTTGTAAAATATATCAAATAATAATCTATTAATTATTACATAAATTTCGATTTCATTTTATTCTCCTCCCAGATCCCAATCTCTTAGCCCCACATGCAATTTTCAATTCTCATATTCAACTTGCACAATCACATGTCTGACATTACGGAACTTTACATTATTGTGGAAAAAAATAATAAAAGGAATTAACAAAGTTGTCTTAATTATCACAATAATTATTATGATTACGTAAGTCTAATCAAAATGATTATCATATTAATTATTAATAAGAGAGAATTCTAGAATGATGTAACTAATTTTATAAAGTGAAATTTATAAAAGGACATTAAACCATATCAAAATGATTATTTTAGACACCAAATCTTTTAAAATTATATAATAAGCATTAAATTTTAGATTTTATTATAAAATGGATACAACACATTTATCTATTATTAAAGATATGACGTGACATGTTAAATTAGTAAAAAATATCTTATTTGATCCTTTAATTATAACTAAAATTTCATTTTACTATTAATTTTAATTAAAATAATTTGATTATGTTCCTTAGATTGAAAACAAAATGGATATAAATAAATTTAAAAAACAATTAGTTTCATATTATAAATATTGAATTTATTCCATATAAATTACTTGACACATTATTAAAATTTAAGAGTCGTTTTGATTATTTTTATTTAAATTTGGATGTATTTTTCTTATTAATTCGGTACTATAATTTTCTGGATGTATTTTTTAAAATTGTGTTTTTACTTCTTAAACAAGAGTCAAATGCTTGAATCATATTGTTTAATTAAAAATATTATATTGTTTGATAATTAAGTTTTTAATAAATTTATAATTGTACACATACAATCACGGTTAATAAATAATTAGTTATAAAATAATTTGATGAATGAATAAATTTCAAAAATTATAAATTTAACAAATTGTTTTCATATTTTAAAATAAATTCTAAATTTAAAATTTCTTTTTTGAACTTATTACTTGAAAATATTGAAAAAAAATTATAATAAAATTTTAGTTATAATTGAGGGGCCAAATATGATATTTCCTATTAATTTAGCATGTCATATCACTCCCTTAACAATATTTCACGATCACTACATATTTTTAAATAAAACCCAAAGTTTAATGTCTATTTTATAACTTTTAAAAGTCCAATGATAAATTAAATAATTTTAATAAAATTTATTGATCATTTATGAATTTTACCTTATTTTTACATTTATTATACATAGTGGTGCATATCATTAGTAGCGTACATCGATGTGCATCACTGACTCTAGGCTCATCCATTAATAAGATTATAGAATCACATCACTTATAAACTTTATTATTTTAAAAAGTGAAATTAATAACTATATTTAAAAATATTATTTAATTATAACATAATTAGTAATATTTATTTTATATTTAGAGATAAGTTTTAGATTTTAATAATATATCAATCATTTTGATAATTAATTTTATATTTTGAGAAAAGAGGTCGATATTTAGCGCCTGTCACACTAGTCATTAGAATTCACGAGAGATGTAAATTAAATTTTCTTTCTTACCATTAATTATATCTCGTGTTGATAAAATATATAATTTTAAGAGAAAATTTTGATCATATATAAAATAAAGGAAATAATAAAATTATTTCTTAAAAAGTAATTGATAAATTTATCAGATTTATTTTGATAAGTGTAAAAAATAAGATACATAAAGATAAAAAAGAAAATAAAAATATTATTACTTATTAATTTTTTAATATAACATTTTGAATGAGAGAATTTTAAAATTTAATAAGAATAAATTTAAAGGGACGAATGGAACAATTATTGACACATTTTCTTAACAATATTATTAACACATTTTTATATGTTAAAAGTTTCGACGACTTTGGATAAAAGGACTGTTATCGATGATATAATTAACAAACTATTATATTGATCAGATTTTTTTCATTGTATATTAATTATTAAATGTATCATTTTAGGATTTTTTTTATTTTGAAGTATTAGAGTTATTTGTTTAAAAAATTGAATAGTTAGCGGGAAAAATATTAGAGTGAATTTTATGAAAAACTAAGTTAAAAAGAAGAAAAATGAGTTAAATGTGAATGTTTTAGAATTGATTTTATCGTGAATGATGATTGATGATGGACAATGATTGATCGTTAATAACGATCATAAATTTCGCTCTTCAAAATTAAAATGTTTTAAAATTTAATGACAAAATTGATAAAAAAACAAAAATAGCGGGAAAGAAAATGATTTTTCATCATATAGTTAATTGGATAACGAACCCAATGTAATAACCGACGTTAAAACTAAAATTCAATAGTACATTCTAATCAAGTTAAAATTCAAAAGTAAAATGGATAAAAAAAATCTTAACTTTAATAATATTTGAAGTAATTTATCGTATATTTAATTAAAACGTAACAATATGAGATTATTTTCTAAAAATATTAAGTTCAAGAAATTATGTCTACGAAAATATATATATGTTATAAATTATTAATTAATAAATATTTTGAATAGATACTACCAGCTATAATCAAACAATTCAAAGAAAAACTAATTGATGAACTACTTTATTAATATCCATATCAAAATACATGTTGAAAATAATCCTTTTAACCCTAAGCAATTATATAAAAAAATCAGATTAGAGAAATTATACATATAATATAGATTAAATTGTTATCTATATATATACATATATAGGATCCTGTAAAGCTCAGATTTAGGATCGTTAGATGAGTGAAAAAAATGATTGAGATTATCAATAAAAAAATAAGAAGATATTCACTAAAAAAACAAATAGTCAATCTCAATCATCTATTTTCATTCATCCAAATGTCTTAAATAAAAGATTTTTACATTGCTTAAGTGGATATTAACTTTCTCTTCCTCCCTATGTGTGTGTGAATTACACTCATGGTCATTAAAACTTATATAAGTTTTTATTTTAATTTATAAACTTTCAAAAGTTATATTATAGTCATCAATATTATTGGAATAACAAAGATTTATTCTAACTTTATCACGATGAAATACGATATGAGAAAATATTAGTATTAAATTACGACCGAAATACAATGTAATGATTGTATCATAACGTTTTTCAAAGTTATTACGACATCGCAAAATGCATCGCCTCGTAACGTCCAAAACAACAGTGACAACCATCAATTTAGTACTACTAAGGAACCACAACCATGTCATACGCCGGGAAGAAGTGGCAGATCTCAGACTCCCCCGGCATAAGCCCCAGAAGGCGGAATCCGATATGACCGGTGCTCCACGAAGATGTATCCATGTGACAAAGGAACACCGCATTCAACTCATCACCGTTCTCACCGACGAGGGAAACCATGAATACTTTGTTCACAGTGCCCCATTGGAAATGACAATAGTAAACTGCATACGGATAGGGTTCATTGTGGCATGCTATGAGCTTTCCAGTTGAAATCTCTTTGAATTCGACAACAGTATAGTTCTGAAGAACAGGAGTCGATTTTGATATCAAAGATGATCGTACAACTCCGACTTGTGAATCTGGTCCGAAGATACTTTCTGCAAAATCAACCAGCGATTCTAAAGATGTAACGCAGCCTTGTGCCTCTCCTTTTGGAGCTTCCATCTCACAGATCTTCAGTGTTTGTTTCATTGCCAAGGCTTGGTGAGAATCCAGTGAGAAGGAGAAGAATCGGAGCAGCTCCGGTAGGTGCTCCGACGATAAAGGGATGTGGTGGGTTTTTTGGTCAGGGAGGAACTGATAAGTGGTTGGGTTTTCTATGCAGGGGAAATAGATGGGCATCGTCTTCCCGACCACAATATCCTTTATGGTGGCGAACACTTTGGCCGCTGGGTTTAGGATATCATCTTTGTCCATGCCCATGGCCATGTGCATGCCCATATGGGATGATGGATGACCATCTTCTTTTTGCCGGGGGAGTAGAAGAACACCATCATCATCATCCATATGAGACGCTGCTACATTTCCAGTAGCAAGCTGGCAAAGGCCCAAAAAGCTTAATTAATAGCATGAATCTGGGTGAAAAAAAATGAAAAATGGAGTTTAGTGGAAGAATAATTACCGAAACGAAAAGCAGGAGGAGGAAGCTGCAAGAAACAAACTCATTTCTCATTCTTTCTTCAACTTTTTCCTCCTGAATTCACCTTTGTTTTTCATTTATAAAGACGAAGATTGCTGTTTGGGTCAAGTATATAAATAGTCCCCGAACATTTACGGAACTTACACTTTGGTCATCCAACTTTTGAAACTTGCAATATAGGCATCGAACTTTTAGTTTGTTTTTCATTTTTGTCCCTGTCATTACCTCCCGTCAATTTTTGCTGATGTTCCATGTTTCAAAAGTTATCAAGCATTGATCTTGGGTATTGGATGAAAACAAACTAAAAGTTCGATGATTGTATTGCAAGTTTCAAAAGTTGGGTAGCCAAAATACAAGAGCCCTAAATGTTCCGGGACTATTTATATGTTTTAACCTTTCTGTTTTTGAATTGTCTGAATAATAATAATAATAATAATAATAATAATAAAAATAATGATGATGATAATAATAATAATAATAATAATAATAATAATAATAATAATAATAATAATAATACGGGTAAACTAGACCATATACCATTAAATTATGGTTGGTGTATCATTTATCTCATTAAACTTTTAATTACTCTAATTAGAACACTAAATTTGATTATGACTTCAATGTATAACTGGGCCATTAAATTTTAACGCATAATGACGTGGACGAGTCTTTATATCATTGTGGTCATGTGGATAATAATAATAATAATACGGGTAAGCTAGACCAATACCTATATACCATTATTATGGTTAGATTCAATAAGAGTTCGTGATATGCATGCCCCTAGAGTGTAAATGTACTTGGTTATCTGGAATGCCAATAATAACTTATTTCTTTGAACTCTGTAAGCTATGGTCGATGACCCAACACACAGTCAAGAAGGTCACAATGAGAGTCATGCCTCACTCACTGGATATACTGGCGATGAGTATGTTTCAGACTCCGAAGAGATGGATATACTAGAGGACCCCGAGATAAACGAGGCTACCATCTTCAGGGACCTCATAGTTGCTATTAGACATATCATCTGAGCTATCTCGAGAGCACCCGCTGAACCTACCTCACCCGTAGCACCTCAGAAGTCACTAGTAGAGCGGCTCTAACGTTACAAGAATACAAATTTCTTTGGCACTAGAGACGATGATCTCATAGTTACTGACCAGTGGTTCTATGAGATTACTCGCACCCTTAGACAGTTGCATATTACCCTAGAGGGTAAGCTTGAGTGCATCACCGCGTTGCTAAAAGGTGATGCCATCGACTGGTGGGAGACTGCCAAGCTAGCTTTAAAGATTGCGAGACCGACATGGGAGTGCTTCTTAGAGAAGTTGAGGCAGAAATATATTGGGTAGATACATACTGACGAGCCGAGAGACCAGTTTACCAACTTGGCTCAGGGGGATCGATCTGTGATGGAGTGCGAGCATGACTTTCTTCAACTAAGACACTACACACTCCAGTTGGTGGCGACTGAAGACCTTCACTGTAGAAGGTTCAGAGAGGGACTCCATATTGACATCCTCACATATTTAGCTATTGATCCTGATGAGCATCGTTTTACTCGTCAAATAAATTACTATTCTCAAAATAAATAAAAATAAGTAGTAAAGTGGAGAAAAGGATCAATCTACGAGGATTTAGGAATTCTTGATGTAAAATTTGTGTCGATATCAAACCAGACAGTTGTAACAATAATATGTAAAAAGGGGTGGCGTGAATGACATGAATAAATAAAAAAAGATAAGTAGAAAATTTAAAAATTGAAATTGAGATAAAGGAAACGTAAATTAAGATCAAAAGTATAATGAGAAAATAGCCTCAAGCTAACTTTGTTTCAATTCTGTTGATCATCGAAACGGATTTTTCCCACGGGATTCATGTCGGTTACAATCTACAAGGCCCAACTCATTGTAACTTGCCTTTCTCTTTAATAACCGATCTTCTCAAGTCACTCTTTGAAAGTTGATACTTGAGTGAACTAACCACAACTATTGTCGTTAAAACAAACATATTAAGTTTTGGAAAAACCCGACTTGGATCATGTTGTCTCATCGAGAATCAGATCCGATCTCGATTTTCCTTAGTGGACTACCGCTAAGTGTGTTCACAGGAGGTCGGATATATCACAGGTTGATCCCTCCTCCAAACTATAAATTAAAATAACATCCAGACCAATGAGCTCTTTTTTATTTGAAAGCATTTTAATTTTGAAAGTAAGGTCGATTGCGAAACTAATAAAATAGAAAATCGATAATGTAACCTGAAGGGTCTTAACTGCTTTTCAATTCTCACATGTGGAATTGATTCATCGCTAGCTCTTGGCTAATAAAAAAGTTAGCTAAGCTTGGTACAAACCATACTTAGCATGTTTTATGAAAACAGTAAAGGCGTAAAGTAAAGAAAGCGAAAAATAAAGAAAAAAGAAAACCTTGATTAAAGCAAGAACAAAGTAACAAAGGAAAATTCAAGATATCCAAAGCCTTACCCTAATGAGGGTATTTATAGGCTTCTAAACCCTAAAATAACATGGAATTTAAAATAAAGATATTCAAAAGTTTTTATTTCAAACTTAGAAACTATATTCCTAAGATATCTCCTCAGATCGTGCTGACTAGGCGGCTTCCAAAATCTTCCTTGCACTGACTGGACCTTCTAGAATCTATCACGTCATACCTGCTTCATACCTAGCGTCGTTCCTATGTCTCTAGCCACGATCAGAAAATAAAAAAAAGTTGCAGAATGCGTCATTTTGCTTCCAATTCTGGAAAACATATCACTGCATGAAAATAAACATAACACAGCCCAAATCAATAGTAATATATTCATAAAATGGGAGAATTAACAAGTAAAAAGTATCAATTTAAAATGCTAATCAAATTCCCCTTCACTTGTCTCATGCTTTCCCTCAAGCATGTCAAGTTAGTAAAACTTAATTTACTTTCCTTCATTCTTTTTAATACCAAAGCAAATTATAGATGGTAAGTCGACAATAACTATTTGAATCAAAACACCAATCAATCGAATAAACACAAGTAAGATAAAGTCAAACAATATTGAAACTTCCAATCATTCTTCAATCATTATTTGCCCTAACTCAATTCCTCACATAAATTCACTCAATCCACTCAAATGTGTTTCGGGTACAATTACGCTCAAAGTCAGAACTAAACAATAATTTCTATATGCTTGTAACAAAATCAAATCTCAACTACTTAACAGAAATAAAATGCAAATATCATTGGTTATTTAAAAAGGGTGTAATGTGGCTTAGGTGGAGGTAGGAAAAAGGCTAAAAATAAGGTTCATAATTGAGACAAAGTATGCTTCAAATAATTTAACCAAGTCTACAAGCAAAGAAAGATAAATGAAACATCAACAAGATAAATAAAACAACCAAATATTTACATCAAATACATCAAACAACCATATGTTTTTCGATTTTTTTCTTCTTTTTTTCCTTTTTCCTTTTTTAAATGCTACTATTTTTTTAAACAAAGTTACACATGCAAGCTTCAATTCTTTGTCTCGACAAGAGTGAGAAAGAGTGGAAAATAAAAAGATGCGAGTTTAAGATTGAGGTGAAGACAAAGATATTGATAAAGGCTCAAAACGGTTCACTAATGGAGAAGAAAAGGGTAAGCTTTTTTTCTTGGGTAAAAATGGGGTGAATCCTAATGCCCAAATCACATCAAAGAACAAAATTTCTTTGTGTAGTCTCAAAATGCATCATAACACAAGTTCTAGTTTTTCAAAATTTAGTTCGACACACTCAAATAAGAAAAAGAGCATAAAAATTAAGAAACATGCTCATCAAGGATCAAAATCTCACCAAAGTGTGTTCATGCATTGAGTTAGGAAAATTTCAATCAATAAAATTAAGGAATTTCAAAATAAAGTCAAATTAAATTCCTACTCATATAATTCAACTATCAAGAGTGTTTATATTCAAAATAATTACACGTAGTTTAACAAACATAACATGCTAAAAATAATCAACGGACGAAAAATTTCAACCAAGTTCAACCAATCATATAATCAAACAATTTCACAAGACAAGTAATATAAAATTCAATGAAATCTTTATCCCCATTTCCTTAAGTCGTATTGTACCAATATGGAAACAAAATGGAAAGTGCAAGAGAAAGGGTAAAGGATACTCCCCATGGTCATTGGCGATCACAACCACGGTCACGGTTGCGGCTTAAGAGGAGGTATGACAAAATCTCGATAATGTTCACCTTGATGGAGTGGAGACAATCATTGACATCGTGAATAGGTTCGACTGTACCGATTATGTTGGGGATTTTTAGATGCCGCTGGTGGGCTGCCAGGGGTGACGGAAAGGTGTTGGCACTCGATTCATGAAAAGGGGAAGAAGGTTGCTCATTGTGAAATTAATGTGACAATCCCATATCAGGCGCGCTCGGAAAGAACTCGGCAGAGAATTCCTTTGTATAGCCAAAGGAAAGATGATACATTAGTAAAGGTTTAATGGAAACAGGTTTAGAGTTTACCTCGAGGTTATGGTATGCCTCTACGGAGTGCATCAAAAAAGAAATAAAGGTCAAGTGCCACGATCAAGAGGAAGAATAAGATTCCACAGTGGGAATTGAATAGAATGAAGGAGACGGTGAACATGGAGAAGATGGTTGGTAGACATTACTCGATTCGACGACGTCAGAGTGTCTCGATCGATGATTGATGGGGTCAATTTTGAGTCGCTCGAAATCTCAAAAAATGTCACCGGAGAGGCGAATTGGCTTCAGCCTCCGAGCACTGTGGGTGGAATATTCGGATCATTGTTTCCTTGGTTTCTTGTTTGAACCACCTTGAAGAGTAAAGGGTGAAGTGATTAAGGTAGAGCAATGGTAAAGCAAATTGCAGCGGCGGTGTTAGCGACCGGCGGTGGTTATGGGAGAGCTTTGCAGTGACTTGGGAAAAATATACAAAGAGATAGTTGGGGACAATAAAATAAGGGATTTAGTATTTTAATTGATGTGGGGTAGGGAAAATAGGGATTTGGGGAAAATAATATTTAAAAGAAATAGATAGATTAAAGAAAGATGTTGGGGGAAAGGTAGGATGTGTTTGGTGGGGCCC